GGATGCGCTTTTCAGGCAGCTGCCTGACTCGCGCGCAGTGCCGGCAGCGCGGGAGTGCGTTGCCAAGGCGATGGGGACCATCTTACTCATCCTCCTCGCTATTGTTCTCCTGCCAGCCCCGAGGTGCCCGGGCGGGGAGAGGAGGAGGAGAAGGCAACCGACCTGGGATGAAGGCTGCCTGGAGGGATGATGGTCCCCGCGACCCCCTTAGCCCCCCCCATTCCCGGCCAGCCCAGCGGGGATGGGTACATGTCGGGTGCTGAGATGTCGATGGGGACGGGGAGAGCAGATGGCAGCAGAGCTGGGAGTGGTGGGGGGAAGTGAGTGTCAGCAGGATGCGACCCTGCAGCCCCCCATCATATGGAGAAGTCTTAGCCAGGGGATGGGAGAGATTTCTATCCCCACCTCTGCCTAGGACTTGATCCTACCCGTGGTGTCCCTTGTCCCACCCAGGTCAATGTCCAGGCTTAGTTCTGATCCCACACAGGGCAGTATGGGATGTAAACCCATACTTGTGCCCCACACCATGCTCCTCCCCACTGCAAGCAGGCAACTGGGCCCAGTCGGTGCTTCAGGACTGGGATCAGTACACAACAACATGGGTGGGGACAAACACCTTGTGGGGGACACACTGGTGGGTGCAGAAGCCTCCACCCCATCCACTCATTGGGGTGCCCAGCAGTGATGTGGGGGTACCCCACTCTGCCCCAGGGGGAGTAAAGAAATGCTGCCTATTGTATTTCCATATCCTGCCTCCCTATTTTTAGCCTTCGGGGTTTTGTTCCAGCCTGGCTGTTTACTGGAAGGAGCATTTCCAACCTCCCTTGTCTCCAGGCAACCAGGTGTGCCAGCTCCCATCATGACAATCTCACCCTATAGATCTATAGGGTCGCGCGTGTGTGTGTGTATATGTGCTAACAAATGGGGTTCCCCCCTTTTGGGGTTAATGTCAGCACAATTTCCCCTGCCCCAACCCCATAAATCTATAGCTCCTGCCCCATACCAACATCCGTGGGACAGGGAGGGGATCCTGATCCTATAGGGTGATGGAGAGCAGCTGGGAGTTTTTTGGGGGGGATGCTGGAGGGTTTTGGGGGGGATACAGGGATGCAGGCGATGCGAGCAGGCCACCTTCCCCCCCGCAGCACGAGCGGGGGTGCGTGGGAAGGAGTTAGACAAAGCCTGAGCCCGGGAGCAGAGGCAAGCGCTGCCGGGAGGGAGACGGGGACGTTCTCCCCTCCCCATCCTCCCCCACCTTCGGGCGAGGGGTGCACAAGAGCCCACCTGCATCCCCTCCGCGGTGGTACGTTATCCCCATCCCTCGGGCAGGTTGGGGTGCAGCCCCCCCCCGGGGATGCCCGGGAGGGAAGCAGCTGTCTCCATCAGCAGGTAGGAAGGGGACCGGGCTCTGTGTCGTTACCCCCACTCATGGGACCCACGGGACCGGCCGGTGTCTCCCATGTGCCTGGGTGCACTGTGGAGTGCCGGGGTGACCGTCCCTGGGGATACGGGGTAGTGGTGCGGGGCGGGGGGGGGTGTTGCAGAG